CACTGGTCGTTAGAGAAATGCAAACCAAAACCACATTGAGATACCATCCATCTCATGCCAGTTAGAATGGTGATCATTAAAAAATCAGGAGACAACAGAAGCTGGAGAGGATGTGGAGAAATAGGAACACTTTTACACTGTTGGTGGGAGTGTAAATTAGTTCACCCATTGTGGAAAACCGTGTGGTGATTCCTCAAGGATCTAGACATAGAAATACCATTTGACTCAGCAATCCCATTACTGGGTATATATCCAAAGGATTATAAATCATTCTATTATAAAGACACATGCACACATATGTTCATTGTGGCACTGTTTATAATAGCAAAGACCTGGAACCAACCCAAATGCCCATCGACAATAGACTGGACCAGGAAAATGTGGCACATATACACCATGGAATACTATGCAGCCATAAGAATGATGAGTTCGTGCCCTTTGTAGGGACATGAATGAATCTAGAAACCATCATTCTCAGCAAACTGACACAAGCACAGAAAATCAGACACCGCATGTTCTCACTCATAGGCGGGTGTTGAACAATGAGAACACATGGACACAGGGAAGGGAGTATCACACACTGGGGTTTGCTTTGGGGGGACTAGGGGAGGGACAGGAGGGGTTAGGGAGATTTGGGAGGGATAACATAGGGAGAAATGCCAGATATATGTGATGGGGGGATGGAGGCAGCAAACCACATTGCCATGTATGTACTATGCAACAATCCTGCATGATCTGCCCATGTACCCCAGAACTTAAAGTCCAATTAAAAAAAAAAGAAATTAAAAAAATAAAAGAATCATTTCTCCATAGACAGATCAGGGCTTTCCCAAAAGTAAGAGGAGGAACACACCCACCTTAGGTACAGCACTTGTTTATGTACAAGATAACAAAGTGAAAAGCCATGGGCAGATGTGCTCCACTACAAGGGCTGTAATAAAGGATGGCTAATCTTTGTGTAACTACGCTCTTATACAAGAATCTATATTATCCTTAAAGAGAAACTTATTCTTAAACTTAAGGATGTTTTTGTTCTTAAGATATAGGGTTGGAAAATGCCCATCAAAGATAGACTAGATAAAAAATACGTGGCACATATATGCCATGGAATACTATTCAGCCATAAAAAGGATGAGTTCCTATCCTTTGTAGGGACATGGATGAATCTGGAAACCATCATTCTCAGCAAACTGACACAAGAACAGAAAACCAAATACTGCATGTTCTCACTCATAAGTGGATGTTGAACAATGAGAACACATGGACACAGGGAGGGGAACATCACACACTGGGGTATGTTGCGGGGTGGGGGACTAGGGGAGGGATAGAAGGGGGTGGGGAGATTGGGGAGGGATAATATTAGGAGAAATACCTAATGTAGGTGATGGGAGGCTGGAAGCAGCAAACCACCATGGAATGTGTGTACCTCTGTAACAATCCTGCAAGATCTGTGCTTAAACTTAAAGTAAAAAGAAAAACAAAACAAAGAAAAAACACAAAAAACTTAAAGTAAAAAAAAAATAACTTTAAGTAAAAAAACTTAAAGTAAAAAAAAAAAAGATATTGGGTTGGGTGCGGTCACTCACACCTGTAATCCTAGCACTTTGGGAGGTTGAGGTAGGCAGACCACTTGATCCCAGGAGTTCGAGACCAGCCTGGCTAATATGGCAAAACCCTTTCTATAAAAAAAGCAAAAAATTAGCTGGGTGAGGTGACATGTGCCTGTAATCCTACCCAGCTACTCTGGATGCTGAGCTGGGAGGTTCACTTGAGCCTGAAAGGTTGAGGCTGCAGTGAGCTGAGATTGTACCACTGTACTCAAGCCTAGATGACAGAGTGAGACCCTGTCTCAAAAATAGATATCTCAGGACATTGGGACATTTCCAGGGTCTGTTAAGTCCTGGGTTTGTACAGTAAATGTTATTAACCTGCTCCCTTACCGGTAAACATCCTGTGACTAAGAATGCCTAACTTTCTGAGAATGCAGCCCAGCAGGTCTCAGCCTCATTTTACCCAGCCCCTATTCAAGATGGAGTTGCTCTGGTTCAAATGCCTCTGACATTGAGAGAGGCGTAGAATAGACATTCCCATTCCAAAGGTAGAAACAGGAAAGAAGGGATGGGTGGTGGGACCCAAGCAAGTCCAAAACATTGCAGGGCAAATTCCATTAGATGTGTTTTTCCTCCAAGTTTCAGATATTTGTTAATCAGTGCAATCCCCAGCACAGTAATCAACATGATTTAAGCATTTGGAAGAGAAATATTTCCTGGGTAAGGGGGAAATTGTGCAGATAGCTTCTGGAAGATATCCAGTCTAAGTAGGTTTATGGTGAAATGTTTCGACTTCTAAGTAGAAGTTTGGGCCTTTTGTCTTCAGTTTACTGGAATCCATATTCACTGAGCAGAGCTTGTACTGATCAGTGGGACCCGGTTGCTTCCAGGGCGCTGGGTTATTCCTCCTGACCCAACTGACATTTGGATTGAACAATGCCGGGTGCAAGATGGACCGTGCTGCTCTGTACCTGCAGCTCCAGCAAATACAAAGAGGGACTCAAGCTCAGATACTTTCAGGCCTGACTGAGGATCTGGTGGAGCATATGTGCATCAGAGGCCTCTGGTGTAAAAGGAGAAAAGAACAAAAATGGCTGCCAAGCCCTGGACCTAAGTAGGCTCTGCAAATTTCACTCAATCTTAGAGCACAAGAATGCTTCTCTTTGGCTTGGTGCCCTCTGGACCCACTGGTGGCAGTGGTCCCACCTCTGCAGCTCTGCTGGGCATGGGTACACACCTTTGACTCTGCTGGACAGGACTAGTGTCTGCCAGCATTTACTCCACCCTGGGGCTCAAGATGGCCAGCACACCACTATGGGAACCAAGGTGATGGCCCACCCATAGGGCTTGGGACTCTGGTCTCACTCTTTGCATCTAAGATAGAGGTGGCCTTCCCCCTGGCGCCTGTGTATGGGGCTATGGTGGGAGTGGCAGCCATGCTGATCTCTGAGTCACCTTTGAGATCTGAAGAATAGTGCATATTTGCAGCCTAAGAGCTCTATGATCCAGTCCTGTAAGATCTAAAAAGATAACCTTCCTTCATCCTGTGCCAATCTCATCCCTTCATGTCAGACTGGCAGTGTTTCTACTGGGGTTGCTGATTCGGTCTGTGGTTCACACACACACACTAATCTTACCAGATGGCCAGTCCACCACATCCTTAGCCTTCTATATACACTTTCTCATTTTTTGTAATATGGACAGGTTGAGAATTTTCCAAATCTTTAAGTTATGATAACAATTCCATCTTGAATTCATTTCTCTTCTTGCATTTTACTGTAAGCAGTCAGGAGAAGCCAAGCCACTCCTTCAACATTTTGCTTAGAAATCTCCTCAGCTAAATATGCAATGTTGTCACTTCGAAGTCCTACCTTCCACAAAACACTAGAACACAGACACAGTTTGGCTGAGTTCTTAATAATGAGGATTGCTTTTTCTCTACTGTCCAATATCAAGTTCCTCATTTTCCACTAAAACCTAATTAGAATGCCCATTATTATCCATATTTCTACCAACGTTTGGTACATGATTATTTATTTATTTTATTTTTTTCCCAAGACAGGATCTGACTCTGTCACCCAGGCTGGTTAATCTTTGTATTTCTTTTGCATCCATAAAAACACCCCTCATTAAGTGCCTGATTGCTTGCACACATAAAGATCTACCTTTGGGGATGCCCTGCCCCCACCTGCACCACCACCTCCCGAAATGAGACACAGCTGTTTGACTGGACTGAGATATTCTTAAGACGGAGAGATGCCACTCCACAATGTGTCACTGTGGCATAAGGATTATTTTGAGCTGAAAGTAATGGAGGAGCCGCAGATGCAGAAAAAGTTCTCTGTTTTCTTTTTTTCTGCCTGAAATTGGATCATAAATGTCTCTTTGTGAAGGTGGCATAAAGTACCCTGTGAAGGTGTCGCCTTTACCTTCACCAAGATGATAGTGGCTCTTATCACCGGAATCAGCACCAAGATGAGTCTCCATAAACCAGCCTTTCTGCCAATAGCCTTGTCTTCCATCACCTTCCCCAAATTCTCCCCAGTCACTTCCTGGTGCCTTATCCTCCCTCAAGGTCAAACCCTCTTCTTTGTTAAAGTTATCAGCCCCTGAGTCTCACTGCTTCTTTGAATTTCACTTCTTTTCTGTGAATTCCTATGCACATAAACACTAATAAAAAAGGTATACCTTTTCTCTTCTTACTATTTTTTTTTCAGTGTAATTTGTGGGTCCCCATTAACTGAACCTAAGATGGTAGAGGAAACATTTTTCCTCACCACCAATATATCTCTCACTTAATCCTTAACCTATGAATAGGTACCAAGATTTCACTGATGAGGAAACTGAGGCACAGATAATGTAAAAATCCTGTCGGAGGTCTCACAGAGCTAGTAGCCGATGTTGTTGGTACATATTGAATAAATGATGATTAGCATGTTCAGTTGAGTTGAATTTAGATTTTTCCTAGTGTTCTGGAAAGATTCTGAAAATAAAGTCATGGCCCTGTCCTTGAAATACTTATTTAATTGGCAACGCTCGTTATCATCACAAAATTGCACAGGTGAGGGTCCAGAAACATAACTCGGATTCCATGTTATAGTTAACCAAAACTGATTAAATGGCTTTCCAAGGTCGTAGCCACGCAAAGACAAAAACAACCTTTTTTCAAAAACCTGATTAAACTCTGGAGGAACTAGTTCTTATTTTCTTTCTTATCAGGTTTAAATTTTTACTGCATAACCTTGTACTTTAGCCATGGCCTGTATTGGTGTTTTTTGGTTATGCACTCACGGTATCATAGTACATGGAATAACAGTGTGTGTTCGTCACAGCCCCTGCTGTCCTGCACTCCTGTCATTGCGGATACAGCCGAGCCCCGCGGTTACGCTCTGCCCAGCCCAGGTATAAACGGCCTCGCCCAAGTGCGCAGTACGAATTGGGGATGGGAGAAGAGGGGGATGTCTGAGGCCTCGTGCGCCGCGCAGTTCGCCGACGTGGACAGCAGGGGGCTCGCTGCCTTTGGTAGAGAAAGCGCACGGGCTCGCTGAGAGTGAGGAGAGAGGCTTCGGCTCCCGGGGCGGATCTTCAGGGTCCCGGGAACCCGGGCGTCACCGCCGTCAGTGTGACCGGGTCAGAAAGCGTGGGTCGCCGGAGCGCAGTGTGGCCGCCGCGTAGGGGCGTCATGGAGGAGGTGCTGGCGGCGCTGGGGCGGGGGAGGCTGCCAGGGGCTCCGCATGGTCCCAGACAGCCACGCCTGTCCGCGGCGCCCCAGCCTCTTGGTCCAGCCTGGGCCCTGCTTGCTCCCGGCCGCGGGGACTCAGGGTGGGCGGCCCAGGGGCGGCCTTCGGCCTTGGAGATGTGAACAAGGTGACTGGGACGCTGGGGCCACCTGTCTCTCCCACCGCGGCGCCCAAGTGCCCTCGTGATTTGAAAAGAGGGAGACACAGTGGGAGCCCAAAGCATCTAAAGGCGGCGCTGCCGGGATGAAGCCACAAGGAGATGACAAGGCTGCACCCGTGTCTGAAAGCGCCTGGCCGTGGCCTACCCGGAAGAACGTAAAGCCGTGCACCGTCACTAGAGCCACGTGGGGGAAGAACGGGTATGGCTGGGGAGAGCAAAGGCCCAGGGAGAGCCCGACTCCGACCTGGGAGGTGAGCTGCCTGGGGTGAGCCCCATTTTACAGATGAAATGAGGGAGACGTCCAGACGCTTAACGATTGGTTCAAGATTCCATACTTAATAAGGGGCAGATGTACACTCCCAACATAAAATGTGGGTCATCTCTTCATTATTTTATGTATATTGGCTAACAGTGATTAGCCATGCAAGAATAAATCCTAACTGTAAAATCTTCAAACAATGCAGACATGGAGAAAATCCCTTCTTAGAGTTTGTCAGGCAGGTGTGGAGAAACCTCCTGGGGTGGAGGTAACAAACTCACCAACTGCGCAGCTGACAACAGCAGAAACGTATCATTTCCCAGTGCAGGAGGCTGGAAGCCCACATTCAAGGACTTGGAAAGGCTGGCTCCTCATAGAGGCTCTGCAGGAGCCCCTGTTCCCTGCCTCTCAGCTTCTGCTGTTCACAGCAATTGCTGTTGTCCAGTGGCTTGTAGCTGTGTCACTCTAGCCACTACCTCCATCTGCACACAGCCTCCTCTTTTCTTCTCAGAGATGGGATCGTGCTCTGTCACCCAGGCTGGAGTGCAGTGGTGCAATCACAGTTCACTGCAGCCTCAACCTCCTGGGCTTAAGCAATCCTCTTGCCTCAACTTCACCAGTAGCTGAGACTACAGACATATGTCACCATGCCTGGCTAATTTATTTTTATTTTTTTAATTTTTGTAGAAACGTTGTCTCCCTGTGTTGCCCAGTCTGATCTTGAACTTCTGGGCTCAAGCAATCCTCCTATCTCTGCCTACCAAAGTGCTGGGATTACAGGCGTGAGCCACTGTGCCTTGCCAGTTCTGATTATATCTACGTAAGCATCCATCAGTCTTCAGCGCTCAGCATCCTCCCAGGGAGATGACAGACAAGGAAGGAGGTAACGACACCACCCATGCCAGCCCAGGGTCTAGGCCTGATTCAGAGACATGTGTGGCCTGACAGCATCTGGTCAGTCACTATGTCCAGTGAGCCCCAAGCCCAGCTCCATAGAGCAGGTCCAAGAGTGAGGCCGCCTCCCCTCCAACTGCTCATCCCAGTCTGGGGTACTGTCCTCTCCCCAGATTCAGAGGAAGCAGTTCTCTGAAGCTCCAGGGATGCTGGGGCACAGACAGAGGCTTCTCCACAGTGAGATGTGACTATGTCTGCAACATTTCCATGGGCACAGGACAGCCAGTGTCAAGCTCCCCTGCTCACTCAGTCAGGTCCTGCAGTAACCACCCTTCCTTTGTCCCAAGGGCATCTGCTGCACCGCTGCTCAGACTTCAGTGCGTCTGGGGACACGCAGGACGGAGGGACATCCTCATGTGAAGACCCATCCTGCAGATATTGATGGAGGATCAAGGATTCCTACCAGGACCATGTCCTCACCCTGGGCTTTCAGGAAGTGACTATGGGGACACCCTGCCCTGGCCTGGCCTCCCCTTTCCTCTGCACAGGTGGTGGAAGGGTTTGCAAAGGGCCCATCAGGAGCCCCTGCACTCTTCCTCTTTTCCACCCCCAACACAGGATGAGCCTTCGTACTGGCTTCAAACATGCTTGAGAGTCCTCCATATGACCATCTGTGGGTGGCTCTCAGGTCCCTCTCAGGGTGGTCTGACTTGAGCTGGCCTGGACTGCATCTGCTCCTCTTCTGAGATCTCAACCTCCCCAAGTCCTCCAGGTGCCCCAAGCACTGACTCCAGTGTTGGCCTTGCACCTCCCCTGAGCGGCTAGAGATTCTTCTTCCCATCACTCTTCCTGCACGGCCTCTCACCACTGCATTTATTAAAAGGCAGAGAATCTGGAGAGTGCTGATCCTAGAGCACAGCCCCATAATCCACCCAGCTGCCCCGAGGCTCATGAGAGGCAGAAGAGCCACCAACCTTGCTGAACCCATTTTGAAAATGTCCCCAGTAAAACCTGATTGGTGTCCACACTGCAGGACATTGAGTTGTTTGCATTTGCAGGTGGGGCCCAGTGGGGACAGTTGCCTCCCCAGCCCTGAATATGGGTTTTTGGGAACGTAGACCAGCTGAACAGATCTGGGGCAGGTAGACTCCCTCTTGTGCTGGTGGACAGCTTGCCCAGTTGCAGTTGTCACTGACCATGTGGAGATGAAATTACGTTGAGTTTCACAGAGGTCCTAGACCTGGAAGTGTGCGGGGAGCTTTGCTGAAAGCAGAGTCCATCTCCTTGGCCTTCCTGGCTGTTTGGATGTTCGAGTCCCCTGCAGGGCATTCTCCTCATGGCTGGAGCAGCCTGGCCCCTCTCACTGGAGACTTGTTTTCAAGCGATATTCTGCTTGGGGGATCATATGGGGATATCAGGCTCATATCCCATCATAGAATGGACTCCTCTGTGGCCCAAATGCTAACTGGAGCAGTCCAAGGAGGCCGTCACCATTTTGGAACACCTGCCAGGGTGGCCCTGGGGGTGTCGACTCCTGGTCAGGAGGAAGAGCTTTCCTCCACCTCAGTGATTTGCCCTGGGCTGAGGCAGGCAGGAGGGGTCACAGGGGTGACTTCTAATGAATGAAGGTCTTGAATTTGTTCCTCAGCCTGGGCCTACTGAGAAGAATGGGATAGACTTTGGGATCTTGATGTTTCTTGCCCCAGAGACAAAAGAACAAAGTTGACCAAATTTTAACCCAGATGTAAAACAGGCCTTTACAATAATGCCCAGAATCTTCAATTATGTGTGGTAGAACGCTTTCTCTGCTTAGAATTATAACATAAGTAAATTATTAAAAATTATATTATTAAAAATTATAATTACATGGTCATCTTTTTTTTTTTCCCCAGGACAGAGTGTTGCTCTGTTGCCCAGGCTGGAGTGCAATGGTGTGATCTCAGCTCACTGCAACCTCTGCCTCCTTGGTTCAAGCAGTTCTCCTGCCTCAGCCTCCCAAGGAACTACACGCTACCATGCCTGGCTCATTTTTTTGTATTTTTAGTAGAAACAGGGTTTCACCATGTTGGCCAGGCTGGTCTTGAACTTCTGACTTCATGATCCACCCATCTTGGCCTTCCAAAGTGCTGGTATTGGAGGCGTGAGCCACCACTCCTGGTCTAAATGCATATTTCTAAGTGAAAAAAGTCAATAGGAAAAGGCTATATACAATATAATTCCAGCAATATGGCATTCTGGAAAATGCAGAATTATAGTGACAGTAAAAAGATCGGTGGTTACCAAAGGCCAGGAGTAGGGAAGGAGTGCTAAGCAGGAGTTTTTAGGGCAGTGAATCTATTCAGTGCACAATGGTGGGTCCCTGACATCATGCATTTGGCAAAACCCACAGGACTGTGCAACACAAAGAATGACCCTTACTAACATAAGCCACGGACTTTAATATTAACGTGTCAACATTTATTATCAATATTGGTTTCTACAATTTTATCAAATGTACAACATGAATGTGAGATGTTAAAATCGTGAAGACTGTGGCCTGAGGTGGGAGGGAATCTATGGGAACTCTAGGTACTTACTGCTCACTTCTGTAAACCTAAAACCATTATAAAAATAAAGGATATTAATTTTAAAAACTAATAGGAAAAGTAATTATTAGGTCCTAACAGTGTGTGTGTGTGTATGTACACACATATGTGTATTTATGTATATTACACATAAGAATGATTTATTTTACCCAAAGATGGGAGATTATGCCTTAAATAAACGGTGAATGATGTTAGATTAATAAATATTAATTAGCATTCAAAAAAATGAAAGGAAAATAGATCAGATGGGCATCAGACTAGAAAACAATAGTTGCCATGTAAAGAGATATCATGTAGGAGATGATAAGAAACATTTTCGCACTGGCAGTAACAACAGAAAAGTACACCCAAATGTAAGAAACAGACAACTTACGAGGCAAAATGAATAGGTACAGAGGACGTTACGTCTCAAAATTTGTACTTGAAACAAGAATATGGAAATAAAACCTATAGAGAGTGGTGGTGAGCCGAGCTGGTGCGGGGGCTGAGGCATCCAGGGTAAGGAGACTGCAGGTTTCGAGGCCTGGAGGCTGGGGCAGCTGGGGTGGGTGAGGCCAGCAAGTGCTTGAGCTCTTGACCCCAAATCGAAGCTCCAATACCAAAGTAGCCTCCTAATGGCCAACAAGTTCAGCACTTCACCCATTTTATATGTACATGGGTGAAGTGGAGAGCCCTCAGGGAAAGAAAGGGACCTCAAACCAAAGGGTGTTTGAGAGAGCTCTGAGAAAGGGCCAGGGTGTCAGGTGGAAGTGCCCTCCTACCTCTGGACTACGCAGTCCTTCCTAGGGGCCACATGGGCCTCTAAGGAGCTTCTGGTACCTTCCACTTTGGGTTTAACTGCCTCTTGTCTCAAGTTGTGGCTTCTTCTCAAAGACAAAGACACTTGCCTGTGTCATCAATTCTTCTTGCCACTCTAGTCACTGTGGGCCTCGCCAGTTTGTGATGCAATTTTCCATTTTGGATTCGTAATGCTCGATACATTTTATATGCTTATTGGGCATTTATACAGACTCTTTGGCCGCGTGGCTGTCTGAAGCTCTTCCTACTTTCAACAGAGCAGCCCCTCCTGGTTCCACCTGCATGGCTGCTGCTCTTCTTCCTGCGTCCTCCACGCTGACCCTTGGTGCCACCACTCACAAGGAACAGGAAAGACCCCCAGGACTGGGGGCAGCACGCTGTGCCTCTGGCACTCCAGTGGGCACTGTGGGCTGGGCTCTACAGAGCAAGATCCCATCTCTGAGAAGAAAAGAGGAGGCTGTGTGCAGATGGAGGCAGTTGCTGGAGTGACATAGCTACAAGCCACTGGACAAGAGCAATTGCTGTGAACAGCAGAAGCGGAGAGACAGAAACAGGGGCTCCTGCAGAGCCTCTACGAGGAGCCAGCCCTTCCAAGCCCCAGGTCCCAGGAGCCCGAAGTGACTGATACACAGCAACTCCTTAGCCATGACCAGCCCCGGAGGCCCCTAGAGGGGGCTCCTCTGTCTGAAAGCCCCACCCTGGAGGGCCCCGGGGTGACCCTGAGAGGTGAGGGTGGCCCTAAGAAAGCACCATGCTGGGGTCTACATGAGGCCGGACTCCTCCCCAGCTCAGACTCCTGGCTGCCTGTGTAGGTCTGGCTGGCTTTCTGGGCAGGGGGAGGGCAGGCAACACTAAGCCTCTGGCCTCCTCTTCTGGCTCTGGTCTTGAATCTGTTTTCAGGAGCCCGCAGTCAGGCTGTGGCCTTCAGCTCCTGGAGTGCTGCTCACTCTCACCTGTGGCTCCAGTGCTGGGGTCCCGCACTATGGCCGCTGCATCCAACAGAAGCCCAATTTTGTACCCCAGGGTCTAATAGATGACACCAGCAACCGGGCCCAGGGGTTCCTGTCTGATTTCAGGCTCCCACTTGGAGACAAGGTTGCCTCAGGGTCGTGGGGCAGCCCGAGCAGGAGTTACTGTGCTCTGGCACGGCAACCCTCTCCACAATGACGCAGACGGCCCATGCAGGGTGTGGTAACAAAGTCCCGTAAACCAGGCCGAGCACACACAGCAGATATGCACTTCTCACTGTTCTGGAAGCTGGAAGTCCCGCATCGAGGCACTGGGAGAGGTGATGCCTAGTGAGGGCCTGTTTCCTCCTTCGCGGAGGGTCGCCTTTCTGCTTCGTATTCACAGGGTGGATGTGAGAGAAGCTGTGGGAGGCTCTTCAGTGAGGGCTCCGCCCTTATGACCCAGCCACTGCCTAGAGGCTCTCAGTCCTAAGACCATCACCCTGGGGGTTGGGAGGTCCACGACCGGCTTTGTGGAGATGCATTCAGTTCAGTGTCTGGCAGGGGATCTTTTAAATTAAATTAAATTAATTTATTTATTGAGACGGGGTCTCCCTCTCTCGCCCAGGATGGTGTGCAGCGGCCCAATCTTGGCTCACTTCAGTTTCCGTCTTCTGGGTTCCAGCAATGCTCCCACTTCAGCCTCCTGAGTAGATGGGATTACAAGGTGCACCACCATGCCCAGCTAATTTTTTTGCATTTTTAGTAGAGATGAGGTTTTACCATGCTGGCCAGGCTAGTCTGGAACTCCTGACCTCAGGTGATCCGCCTGCCTTGGCCTCCCAAAGTGCTGGGATTACAGGCATGAGCCATTGCGTCTGACCTGGCAGGGGATCTTGACAGGCAGTTGGGGAAGAGGACAGTGCCTATCAGTTGCCACTGGAGACCAGCAGGGACTGTGGCTCCTTCCATTGACAGCCTTTTGACTGTTTTTTCTTTTCTTTTCTTTTCTTTTTTCTTTTTTCTAGGGGGGGAAAAAAGGCCAGATTTTTAGAGAAACTACTCCATGAAGCGAGTGGGTCCAAACAGTGCTAGATGCAGTGGTGTCCATCCGAATGCCCTCCTTAGGGCTGCACATGCCTTCCCAAGTGCCTGAATATTACTGATCAGTGGGTATCCCCTGAGACTCTTTATGGGTAAGGGGTCCTCCAGGATTGTCTTCCAGGAACAGCCTGCATTCAATGAAGGGGTTGTGCACAGTGATGAAGGCCCTCATCCAGTTCAGGACTCTGAGAGGCCCTCTCAGCTCCAGAGCTCAGAAAATAAGGGGCTGAGTTTGCTACAACTGCATCACATCGGGCTGATTCTGGAAGTTCCACACCCGTGTTAAAGCAGGAGTCAGCAGAGGGGGCAGAAGCACTAAGTTGCTGAGACAACACCTGGGAGTGCACAGGAGGGACTCACCCCTAACACCCACCTGGGAGTGCAGACGGAATAGGCCCAGCCCCACCCCAACTTGGGAGTGCAGACAGAAGAGGCCCAGTCCCCACTCCAACCTGGGAGTGCACGGGAGGAACTCACTCCCAACACCCTCCTGGGAGTGCAGACCGAAGAGGCCCAGCCCCACCTCCACCTGGGAGTGCAGACAGAAGAGGCTCAGTCCCCACCTCCACCTGGGAGTGCAAATGGGAAGATCCCAACCCCCAACCACAACTGGGATTGCAGACAGGATGGGCCCACTCCCCACTTCCCACTTCCCACCCCAAGCCAAGAGTGCAGACAGGAGAGGCCCAACCCCACTCTCAGCTGGGAGTACAGATCGGGGAGGCCCTGTCCCCACCCTGACCTGTGTGCAGCCAGGAGAGGCCCACATCCCACCCTCACCAGACTTCCAGTGTGGAGTTCCCTGGAGAGAGCCCTGCCCACAGACATCCTGCAGGGCAGTCTAGCACCAAAACCCAGCCTAGTCTCTTGTATGATCAATTCTCAAGAGATGGTAACCAATAAAACCCAAGTGTTTGAGATTTGGTGGTGGCAGACGCAGAAAAGAGCAGGTCCTGAGGGAAAGATAATCTTTGAGAAGCAAAGCAAGAAAAGATGACAAACAAAACTCAAAGGCCATAGATATTATCACTTTTTTTTTCTGTCATTAACTTTTAAACATAACACATTTTTAAAAATTTCATTCCCCTCTTCTTTCCCTGGTCTCCAAAGCTGCAGGCCTGGGTGGACTGTTCCTGAGAAGCCACTTCCATGATGTCCCTTCTCCAGGGTGCCCATCTACCTGGAGCATCGTCATCCTCACTGCTGGAATCATGTCTCCTGTTGCCAATCCAAGCTCTGAAGACATAAGCACCGGCAAGAAAGGTGTTACCCAGAGAGACTCACTCACCCTCCCTGCTGCAGAGGAGGCCACGCCAGCTGTCACAGCAACTCGCAGCTCCATCCTCTGCTTTCTCAGAACTTACCTGGTTCTCTGGAGTCAGAGGCTTTCTATAAGTCACTGCTCACATTTGCAAACATTCACACCAAGAGAGGACTCCCTTTCCACTTGCCACTCCCCTCTCCTCCAGATCATTATAGCTCTCCCCACCAGCCTTATCAATGTCAGGCTCCAACCCTACCAGGCAGTGTTCAGGTCTGTGATTCACAAACAGACCCCGTGCCAGGTTGGAGCTGCTGCCGCAAGCCTGTTATGCACAGACGTGAATGTTCCCTCTGTGTTGCAAGTGCAGGGCTACTGGGCACTGGAAATGTGCCTGGTGTGATAAGGGACTGGAGATTAAATTTTAAAATACCTCTGGTTAATGGCCATGGCACAAGGCAGCTCAGCACTGGGATTCAGAGATAAGGGAGAATTCACCTCACCGCCCCTGCGTTTTCCTTCCAGCATAGCCATCAATGGCCTAATGTTATCTTTCATCTGATAGGAACTTCCTGAGAACAGACACAAGTACCAGGCACTCTGTGAGGCCCTAGGGGTGCTAAACACTGGGTCATATCCAGGTTCCAGAGAGGTTCACAGCTGGAGGTGATGTGTAAACAGAGTGAAGGACATGTCCAGCAAATCTTGAGCTGAAAAATGAGGGCATTTGGAGCAAGGGTAGGGGACATCCCACTGTCCCCAGGAGCCCACCCAGCTGAGTTTGGCTTTTTTTTTTTTTTTTTTTTGACGGAGTTTCGCTGTTGTTACCCAGACTGGAGTGCAATGGCACGATCTCAGCTCACCGCAACCTCTGCCTTCTGGGTTCAGGCAATTCTCCTGTCTCAGCCTCCTGAGTAGCTGGGACTATAGGTGTGCACCACCATGCCCAGCTAATTTTTGTATTTTTAGTAGAGACAAGGTTTCACCTCGTTGACCAGGATGATCTCGATCTCTTGACCTCGTGATTCACCTGCTTCAGCCTCCCAAAGTGCTGGGATTATAGGCGTGAGCAACCGCGCCCGGCCAAGTTTGGCTTTTAACTCACCTTTCTTGTGATGTCTCTTGCTGAATTTGCTGTCATGATTGTCCTGATTAAACGAGAACAGTGTGTGTTCCCTCTGTATCCGGAAGTGTGCATGCAAGATTTGAATTACTTCTATTTAAAATATGCGATAGATTCGGAGGGAGACAGTAAGCCTGGAAGTCTGCATATGGAAAAATATTGTGTTATTTTGTTTTTATTTGATGGTTGCTTTGCAGTACTGCACGTATATTAATGTATAATACATGTACAGGTTGTTGCCTTCTTGAAAAATCTGTGTTACCACCACCCAGATATAAACACCTGGCAGCCCCTCTTTGGCTAACTCCCAGGCAGTAACACCCAAGAGACACTCACTATTCTGGTCATGATCAACGTATTTTAAACTAATTTAAAATAAATACATTTATTTAAAAAATCATATAAATGGAAACCTACAGTATGTACTCTTTTGTTTCTGATTGAAAATTATACGTAAATATCATGTAAATTTCACCTATGCTGCATTGTGATGAAACATTCATCATTTTGTACTGCTTTGTCCTGTCCATATATAACATCTATATTATAGGAAGTTGGTGCAATGAGTTTACACCCTCTGTTTTACATTCACTCTGTTTATCATGATAGTTGCATGCAGCGATGCTGCTATAAAGCCCCCCAGGTGGACACCAACACCCTTGCCTCATACATGTCTTTTGGACATAGGTAGCAGGAGTGGGACTGTAGGGTCACAGGTACTGATTACTGTAATATGCCCTAGAAAGCCATTTATCAAGGTGGTTGAAATTAAATATGTTCCCAGTGACATGTGACAGCTCAGCTCCTTTCACCACCTCACCAACCTCTGCATTTTTCTCTCTGATCACATATCTATGTTGCTGGAGATAGGAGTGAGAAACTCTGTGCCGCTTCCTGTGACCCTGGACCATGCCTTACAAGTCAACTGGAGAGCATGAAGCCCAACACAGCTGAGCTCGCAGCTACTTAGTCCAGGAGGCTACTAATGTGGCTTCCAGGCTCTCCCACTTCTGTGATAGGATGGGCCTGCATGTCCCTCCAGCCTCAGCCCCTGGATGACACTTTTTGTCATAGTCCAGGGTGAAACTTTTGAATATGCATTCTGCTAATCACTTGTGATTGAGTGCACTTTCATAGGCTTTACTATGCCAAACTTGCTGAAGTTTCTATGAATTTGACAGACAAAAGTGAGTACATGGTGGGTTATTCTCTGAAAAACCACACAGCCTTATGAGTTCCTGCATGACTATTTAAGGTTTGTTCAAAGGACCTAATAGGTAAAGTTGCACAGGAGTATCAAACAATGGAAAGATATTTTCAAGGACGATTGAGAATTCAGAAAAAAATAGAAAAAACAAATAAAGTGGAAACCTAATTAAAAATAAACAAATATCACGACAAAGCAATTACAGAAGGTAAATATGGATGAATAACAGTCATATGAACATAGGTTCAGATCCACCTGAGGCAAAAGGAGCAGCTGTGGAGGAGCCCAGCATATCTGTGTGGAAGGCTCCATCCAGGAAGAGCAAAGGGAAAGCAAAGGAGCTTGGGGCAAGAGTGTGATGGGAGTGGCGGAAGCAGTCAAAGCTCCTTGAGCTGGAAGCAGAAAGAGGGATGGAGGTCTGCCAGCCAGCAGGGCCCGGGCAAGCAAAACCTGTGGGTTCCTGTGGATATTCCAGAACTGCACACTTATTTCTGAGTCAGGCATAAAAACAGTGAGTGCTGAGCAGACAACTAATGTTACAATAAAAAAAATCAGAATAAATTGCCAGTTAGGTTGTGGGGAATCAAACTCTCACTCACAACTGGGAGTATTCAGGTCAACCATCCTGAGGGATTTCCTCAGCACACAGTAACATTAAGTGTGCACCCTCTATGCACCAAGCCCTCTCTCATTCAGAGGCAGAGGGAAAGATAAAGGAGGAAGTCCTTATCATAGGAGGTAGCTGGTATCAGCAGCAACCTGGATGCTTGGCACAAGAGGATTTATAAAGAAAGAGTAGTTGACGCAGTGCTGACCAGTTGGAAGTCATGGAAGAGGCTCACATGCACACATGGATAAAATTAAATGTATAATTATTAGTTTAAATCTTAGAAAAAAATAACCACCTGAGGCCTAAAGAAGGAGCATCATTTAATGCAAAAATGCAAACACACTTTATGAATTCTTTAAGTATCTGTAGAGATTATTTGGAAGAGTGGTCCACGTTATTTACACTTGGGTTGGTGACTCAGGGATGGATGGAAACATGATCTGAAATAGTTATAAAGGAAAAACATAGATAAAAGAAAGGCTGATGAGAGTGTGGTGTGAGTAAACTCTGTGCTTGTGGGTCCCAGGAAACATGGACAGAGAGGAAATATCACACATGCCCTGCTGGTGCAGCTGGAAGGCAGTCTATGGCCGCTTTCAGTGAGAGGGACCTCCCCTCCACCGACAGCACCCTTGTTACAGTTCCTAGCTGCTCTGGCCCTTCTCTGATACCATGAATAGCTTTAGAAAAGAAAACTGGGGGCCTATCATTGAGATGCCCATGTATGTCAGGGAGGCAGGAAGGTTTTGGGGTATGAGGGCAGTGGGGGACACTGGGGACTTTCCTGAGATGTCCCCACCCAGCTGAGAAACCCCTCATGGCCTCCAGGGGAGTTCAGTCATCAGGGGGCCCACTGGATAGGTTTGGGTTGCAATGTTGACAGCAAGAACCCCCTCCACCCACTGGGTCAGCTGTGAGAACCCAGGGGAGGGAGGTGCAGGGACATGCAGGTAGCAACTCTTATTTGCATGCAGTGGCTCAGCCCCCATGAAGGGTTTAGGAGCTGTAAGGTGGCTTTTGGGGAGCACAGGCTCCAAAGTAGTTTCAAGAAGTGGGAGTTGAGTCTGGGTTCCTGTTCTCACACTGCTCACCCCTGCACAGGGGAGGAGGAACCTCACCCCACTCTGCCCTAAACCCCTCTCCTCAGGGAGCTGTGATTCTGACCCACAGTTTTTCCTCTCTGTTTAGAGTGGCTGTGGCCAGGCAGGGCTGACTCAGCCACACACACACACACACACACACACACACACACACACTGAATAGGCAACTCTCTGAAGTAGAAATAGTTGATTAATTAATGCACCTATGGGATTTTTCACAAACCAAACTAATATTTTTATTTTAAAAAACCTTTTTTTATATTCTCATTTTTTCTTTTTTTGTCATGTGAAAAACATGCAGGATTGTTGCATAGATACATATATGGCAATGTGGTTTGCTGCCTTCCTTCCCCTCACCTATATCTGGCATTTCTCCCCATGTTATCCTTCCCCAATACCCCATGCCCCATTGCCCCTCCCCTAGTTTTCCCCACATACCTCAGTGTGTGATGCTTCCCTCCGTGTTCATGTGTCCTCATTGTTCAACACCTCCTATAAGTGAGAACATATGGTGTTTGATTTTCTGTTCTTGTGTCAGTTTGCTGAGAATGATGGTTTCCAGATTCATCCATGTCCCTACAAAGGACATAAACTCATCATTTTTTATGGCTGCATAGTATTCCATGGTGTATATGTGCCACATTTTCCCTGTCCAGTCTATCATCGATGGGCATTTGGGTTGGTTCCAAGTATTTGCTATTGTAAACAGTGCTGCAATGAACATACTTGTGCATGTGTCCTTATAATAGAATGATTTATAATACTTTGGATATGTACCCAGTAATGGGATTGCTGGGTCAAATGGACTTTCTATTTCTAGATCCTTGAGGAATAGCCACACTGCCTTCCATAATGGTTGAACTAATTTACACTCCCACCAACAGTGTAAAAGTGTTTCTATTTCTCCACATCCTCTCCAGCATTCATTGTCTCCAGATTTTTAATGATCGCCATCTTAACTGGCATGAGATGGTATCCCAATGTAGTTTTGATTTGCATTTCTCTAATGACCAGTGATGATGAGCATATTTTCATGTTTGTTGGCCTCATATATATCTTCTTTTGAAAAGTGGCTGTTCATATCCTTCACCCACTTTTGAATGGGTTTGTTTTCTTCTTGTAAATCTGTTTTAGTTCTTTGTAGATTCTGGATATTAGCCCTTTGACAGATGGGTAGATTGCAAAAATTTTTTCCCATTCTGTTGGTTACCAG